GTACTCATGCTAACCTTTTAATTGGCCTCTGTGCTGTTAAGTTGTACATAATTAAACATGAATTGAATTGATTTAAATTAGGATGTTGAGCTGCCACACGAATAAATAAGAATTAATTGGGTTATTATTATTATTATTAACTTTTATGTGTGTATGTATGTGTATTGTCCTTTCTCATCACATAATGGAATAACCATTCGAAATGTACTTATTTTATTTTTCTCGCTTGTTAAAGCTAACTTATTTTTTTCTTTTATTTTCTTGGAATTGTTACTAATTTATTGATATTGTATAGACTGTCATGTTTTTTTTTTGCTCTTAATTTTTGTGTATTTCTATGTACTCGTGCTAACTTTGTAATTGGCCACTGTGCTGTTAAGTTTGCACATAAATAAACACGAATTGAATTATGTAAAGTTTGATGTGCATTATTCTCCTTAATACTCTTGAAACAGAGATGGAGCAGAGGCGAACAGGTCCAGCAATGAAACCTCAGAGGGGAACAGTAGCTTTCAGGTGATCAGTGTTACAGAACTCTCTCAGTGGTGGGTATAATTACTATAACTAATAATAACTATATTGATAATTAACCGAGTGTAAGAGACAGTCTGCCGGGAGACCTAAAGTGTCGGATTGATAAAGGGTTAATCAAAAAGGGGACGCACAATAGATCATTGAAGGTCGGGGTGCAAGGGCATGATTATTATGAACCACCCCTTATGCGTTCATTCCTCTTTACGTGAGTGCTGTGATTATTTGAATACGCCACAACTTTTTTTATTTCCACAACCTTCTGAATCACAGCCATCGACGCTGTGTAACCTATGCAGTCTCCAAAGCGTGGTTAAAGTAAAAGTTTTCTTTCCAGTTCTGATAGTCTTCTTGTCATTCCATGATACATGGCCAATGGTTTTCTTATTTCCAAACATTTGTGTTACAGACAGAAACTGACGTCTCCAAAATGGAACCGGTTCAAAGGGATCCGACTGCGATGGAAAGACAAGATCCGACTCAACAACGTGATCTGGCGTTGTTGGCACATGCAGTGTAAGTACCGTGAATATGACAGCAGCTACGTCCCTCCATTACCACCCTCCTTACCGAAAAATCCAAGTCTGATAGGGAGGTAAGTAATACCGTATGAAAATGTCTATTGATGATTTGTCGCCTATGCTAACACTTACAGACCACGGTCAGTGTGTAAAAAGGTAAAGCTATCTCTGTAGCAGGCCGTGGAGGCCCATAAGGTTGTGAGACGTCGAGGTTGCCACATTTTCTAAACAGTCGGCTCAGAGATGGCGGTGAGGTTAGCCTTAAGCGCCGGACTCTGTTTAGCCCCAGGAAGATTCCTAGTACTCATTTATGTTAGAGGCTGAGTCGACCCCAGGGCCATAGTGCGGCTGGAAGGATTAGGTTAGTTGTAAAATCCAGTGACTTCATCGGGATCCGGCGACTCTCCAGCTTGTACCTGTAGCATAGCGCTTTAACGAACTGCACTACCTCGTCCACGGTCAGTGTTGCTTAACTTATGTGACTGGACTCAGTTTCATGTAAACCTAGTTTACATGAAACTGTACTGTGGCCGGGAAGGAAACTTTGTCTCGAGATTTCGACGGATTTCCACGCGTTCAGCTCTCCCGCCACCCGGTACGAACAAGTTCTAGGAAGAACTAGTCGCCTATTTTCCTTTGATACTACATGAGCCGTACAGAAAACTATGCAACAAGCAATTCTTTTATTGTTGCATCTGTATTCATTGCAGTGGTAACGTTTTTACCGAGGCGTTTCCTAGAAACCATTATGGGCTACACATATAGACACACAGACTGATGGAAGGGATTTTTAAGTACAACATTGAGATAGGCACATGTGCCATGATGTTCACTACAAGTTTCATAAAGACTGATCCAGCCATTCAGGAGTTGATAAGGAGGATACACAGACACACTGCATGATGATGGTTTTGGTGTGCCAAATGTAGGACTATGTCTCTCTTTGGCGCCTGAACGGTTTATACGAATTTTCTTCACACTTGGCATTTACAAGTTTATCGGTCATAGGTCATTTTCCGCTAAATATGGACATTATGGCCTCAAAAAGATAGTGGCCATTCAGATGGCCGCCAGAAATAGAAATGCTGTTTCTTGAAAAAGAGTCTTACAAATTTCCATTATACAGGGTGTTTCAAAAAGAGCTCTACAACTTTGAAAGCTTATATAAATTTCTACAGAGGACATACACAACGTTTTGAACTGTCATGGTGTAGCAAAACACACCGAGTTTCATGCACGTGGTACTGTAGTACCCAATACCGCCACCGGGAGCGCTCCCGCAGTTGAAATCAAGATGGACACTTTCACAGGTGCAGAGCATGCTCGTTATGTGTTTTGGTTCGAAGAAACAAAAGTTCGAAGGAAATTTCGCACTCAGTATCACAAGGAACCTCCCAGTAGGCCTACAGTTTACTCTTGGCACAAGAATTTTGTTCAGACCGTATGTTCTGTGCGCCTTGCCAAGCCACCCGGTCGGACACGTTTCTGACGCTACAGTGGAACAGATTAGGGAGAGCTTCGTTCGAAGTCCACGAAAGTCAATGCGACGTGCGTCTCGGGAAACTGGTATTCCAAATGTTACTGTGTGGCGAGTGTTACGAAAACGTTTACACTTAAAAGCGTACAAGCTATCCATCGTTCAACACCTTAACGGATGCAGATAAGGTGGTTCGTAAGGAATTCTGTATGCAAAAGTTTCGTCGGATACAAGACGATGAGAAGTTTCTGGACTCAGTAATTTTCAGTGATGAGAGCACGTTTCATGTCAGTGGTAAGGTCAATACCCACAACTGCAGGATCCGGGACAGCGAAAATCCACGTGTCTCCCAGGAACATGTTCGTGATAGCCCAAAGTTGAACGTGTTTTGCGCCCTCAGCAAAGAAAGCGTCTACGGCCCCGTCTTCTTCATGGAGACGGCCATAGCCGGTAGCGTATATCTGGACATGCTCCAAGAGTTCCTCATTCCACAGTTAGACGAAGATGACCAAGAAGGACGCATTCACTTCCAGCAAGACGGCGCTCCCCCTCATTACCTTGGAGAAGTGCGCGAGTACCTCAACACCCGTTTCCCAGGTCGGTGGATTGGTAGAGCGGCGCCGATAGCATGGCCACCTCATTCCCCAGATCTTACTCCCCCTGGATTTTTTCTTGTGGGGATTCGCTAAAGATCGAGTGTTCGTACCGCCTTTGCCTGCAAATGTCGTTGAGCTCCGAACTCGAATTACTGCCTCAGTTGCAGAAGTGACGCCAGAGATGCTACGTAGCGTGTGGCAAGAGACTGACTACAGGTGGGACGTCTGCTGCATTACCAATGGAAGTCACATTGAACCGTAACTATCCGAGGTAAAACTCGGTGTGTTTTGCTACATTATGACAGTTCAAAACGTTGTGCATGTCCTCTGTATAAATTTATATAAGCTTTCAAATTTGTAAAGCTCTTTTTGAAACACTCTGTATTTCGGTTATTTATGGAGATCCAATCCTTAATTGAAGATCGTTATGTGTTATCTTCAGGAAAATAAAATATACGCGGGAGAAACAGTAAGTAGGTCGCAAATGGATTTATTTACTTACTCATGGAGCTGAGCCCTTCTGGAGGAGCCGCCAATTCTGCAGCTACTCAAGAATTTCCCAGCATTTTATGAAACCCGAAGGTTCATTACAGTGTTCACAAGAGCCCTCCACTGGTCCCTATCCTGAGCCAGATCTATCCAATCCATACCATCCCATCCTATCTCTCTAAGATTCATTCTAATATTGTNTTCAGAGACAAAGTTTCTTACCTCTACAGAACCGCAGGCAAAATTATAGTTTTGTGGGGACCCAAGCGATGACAGATTTGTGAGGGGAAGACTTGAAGTCTATTGAAGGCCATGGACAATTGGAAGGGACTTACAGAGAAAACCGAGCTGACTGTGGCCCGTGCGGCGGGGTCCTCCACGAACTTGCAACCTAATCAAGTTAACTGGAGATTAATATTATGTAATTATTATGTAATACAACACTTAAATAAAATTTATGTCGTACTGCATGAAAACAGATTAGAAATTCATATAAATATTTTCCGTACATTGAACCGTCACTTAGCGACCGCCAGCCTGTGCTGTTTGCAACAAAAATGTCGCGCGAATTGTGTCTTTTATCGTCAAATATAGCTACTATTTCCTACGAGGCTGAAACCGAACGTTATGAAGGTAGAGTTGTGCCTGTGCTTAACTAATTAAGCACTACGCCAAGAAGACGTACGGAGGAGAGGGTGTATAGATCCACGTCTTCTTGACATCGACACTAGTTGAAAGTGAGTGGTCAGCTTCACACCCCGGCCGCTTTACCCCCAGGGAAAGGGCCCTCGGTACCCGTTGGATAAAAGGTTGGGTGGGCCTCAGAGCCAGTCTGGATGACGTGGAGAAGAGAAAATTCTTAACCCTACCGAGACTCGAACTCCGACCCCTTCTGTCGTTCAGCCCGTAGCCAGTGGGTATACCGACTGCACTATCCCGGCTCCTATAAAATTTGCTATTAAAATAAGTTAGCAAAATAGTCTGCGCGTTGACCCCTGTGATAGTTGCCTTGCTCACGTCACAGGACTGCAACATGCCGCTCCTGTGGCCTAACAAGAAGGCGATTGAATCATTGGCGATGCAATACAACTGATTTTCCTTCTTGCTTGATCAGCATCTATGTATGTGAGGTTTGAGGTTCTCGCAGCACTGAGGTTACTCTCTTCTTGTGATGCCGTGTAGTCTGGCTGATGTTTAGCATCGTTTGGGAAGAATCTCCTGCTGCCATCTTAAGGGAAAAAGATTGGAAGAGAAGTGATTCTGGAGACAGTAGGTTTCTTTGAAACGTTTCTAAATGTATGAGTCACATCTTCATCACCTACATAGTTCGCAGGTTGTCAGCATTGCAACGCTGCGCTGACGGATTCCTTCTTGTAAAGCCAACATTAGCCCATCTGCTCAATTTCCCAATCTTATGAAACCCGAAGGTTCATTTCAGTGCTCACAAAAGAATCACTCCACTTGTATCTATCCTGAACCAGATGAATCCAGGTCATACCACCGAAACTTATTCCTCAAAGATGCATATTTGTAGTATCTTCCCACCTACGACCTTCTTTTCCCCGTGGTTTTCCCACCAAAACTGTGCATTCCTTCACGTCATCATTTAATTATATTTGGCGAAGCGTGGCAAAAGCATTACATGAGGACCGAGACTCACAGACTGGCCATGTCGCTACAGTGGAGCTTAAACCCTCGCTAATCCGGTTACAGTTAGTGTATATGTGGTGTTAACCGACGTTTCGGAGGAACGTATCGCCCCCATNCTCTGTTCGCAGTTGAGTATATACTTTAAAACACACGGGATTTAGGAGCAAGAGAACTTTCAGATTGTGCTGAGGGCAGCTGGAGAGACCGAAACCATACAAGAAGCTATCCAAGATTGGCTTGAGCTGGATGAAGGAGACCCTGGATTTCAGCATCTGACAGAGGAAGAAATCACTGCAGTGATATTTCTTTATTTATTTTCATCAGCACTACATGTTAAATTTTCCATTAATATGTTTTATAAAGTTTTTTTTTTGTCTTTAGGACTATATTTTTGCTTCATTAATCCGGATTAACGCTTAATCCCTATGACCTGCCCCCTCCAGTTAGTCCGGATTGTCAAGGGTTTACTGTGTTTCTTTGTCCTTGTCATTAGTAGTGTTTTTCACTCTTGTCTTGTCGCCTCAGAAGGGCTCGTGGCAGTGTAGTTAGCAGCTTTACTTAGTGAACATTAGCAAGGGGGAGGGGTGATGTAGGTGAGGCTTCCGACCTCTCCCCTCCCAGGTTTAAAAAAAAAATCAATTGAAAGAAATGAAACTTTACTAAATACGAATACAGAGAGTAAATTGTGTTTGGAAATTTGTTCTTTCGTCCTGAATACTGTGGGACGATTGAGACGGCTGAAACGTAAATTTGTAAGCAAATACTCAGCCGCCGCCGCCGCCG